ATGGGTGCTTTGAAGTGGAGAGAAAAATTCATAACAAGTTAGAGGGAGAGAATAACAGAGAAGTGGTAAATCCACCATCTTGACAGTTAGTCAGAAAAAAGCGAACAGCCCGTTGCGATCGCCGACAGCCCGAGCGGGATGGTATAGTTATCGTAAATGGAAGAGAGAAGCGAGAGGCATATGTTGACAAAAAAAAAAAAAAAAAAAAAAAAAAAAAAAAAAAAAAAAAAAAAAAAAAAAAAAAAAAGATGCAGAAATGCATGAGTATAAAGAGCTTCAGAAGCTGGCCGACAGTGGAAATGCTCAAAAATTCTACAAAAATATGACTAACAGAAGATTTTAAGAACAGAACATACTTATGTAAAACCTCCCGAGGCAGCCTGTTGAATAGCAGTGAAAGTGCATGCATCTGCTCCGTTTATGAGCAAGTTATGATCGCTTGAAAGCATACCCATACGGGATCATAAATGTGCTCTGTGCAATCCAAAAAAAAAAAAAAAAAAAAAAAAAAAAAAAAAAAAAAAAAAAAAAAAAAAAAAAAAAAAAAAAAAAAAAAAAAAAAAAAAAAAAAAACAGGTGGACTCAACAATCTGCGCTAAATACCGTGGTATGAGCTTTTTTGTATTGTGTGAAAAACTTAAGCCCATCATCAACAAATTGATTGTACTTTATGAGTGTGGCTTTTGACGTGAAGAAGCTTCTATCGACCAGGACCATGCATCAAATCTTAGAAAATACGCGTGGAAAGAAGATCGATACACGCAACCTCTTCGTCAATTTTAAAGTCGCCTACAACAGCACGAAAAGGAACTGCCTCTTTGCCGTTATCTTTGAACTTTGTATCCCTACAAAAGCCCCTGTGTAAGCCGAAGTTGATCAAAACCAAAAGCTCCGTCAAGATCGTAAAGAAACTCTCGGAGCCGCGCGATACCAAGCGAGGTTGCAGACAAAGAGACTTTTTATCATGTGACTTCTTCAATCTATTGTTGGAAAAAAATAATACGAGTTACAGAGCTAAAAAGAGAAGGTGAAGCCTTCTGTAAATGTGATGATTTTGACAAGGTTGATCTCAACAACCACGTTGTTGGTTCTACTTTTTCCAGACTGGATAAGGAAGCAAAGCATTAGCACCAACAACAGTATCATCCTAGAAATCCCATGCAGAATCACTCTTGCTAGGGAATTGAAAAGCAAAACCCTCTCTCGACGAACAAAGACAAAATTCTACAAGTCACTAATCGTTTTCGTCCTGTTATATGGTGTAGAGACATGGACAATGACTTCGTCCGATGATGTGTTCCATAGTAGTGTTCGAAAGAGAGGTTTTACGGAATATTTAACTCCCCATCGTAGCTTCTTCGAGTAATCTGATTAGCACCAACTTTGCTGAAAAGAATTGCTTAGCAATATGCTTTGGTATAAATTATCAAGCAAAAAAAGGTTTAACAATAGAAAGTTGTACTCCCTAATATCACTATTCAAATTGTTTGGGTGTTTTTAATACTTTGCTTATGAGCAAAACTGTTGTGTTATTGTCAGCCGATTATAGGTGGGTGCGGTTCAGGGTCAACGTAGCCCCAGTATTTAGCATTGATCTAAGTTAACCCGTATTGCGCTCACTGATGTGCATTTGCCTTGTGCGACATCAGAGTAAGGTTGTTGTCAGTATCTGCTGATATATGCTTTGACGAGTAGAGGAATGTTGTCAAAACCACTTGAGTAAGATTTAAATATTCTACGACGATTATCTACGAGAGCTTTTTCAGTAACGATTTCCACATACATTTTATCGTGTAAAGGAAGGATTACAGGTTTTTTCACTTTGCTCAGTTTAGATGTGATCTTAACTAAAGGACCCCAGTATTTGTCTCCTATCTATGTCTCAGTAGATGAGTACTGTGATTTATTTTCTACCGAAAAAGCAGGTAATTATCGTTTAATTTTTCTTAGTTTTTCCATACTTTTGTAAACCTGCATAGAATATAATGATATTTTTCATATTTTCCGGCCTAAAAGATTTATCTCTAAAGATCATTTCTATTATTTTGTCAGTGTGTAATAATATTCATATAATCGAGAAATATATGATTGATCATGTGAAATAGCCTGGAAAAGTCAAGTACTCTTAGAACATTGTAATCCTAAAGTAATTTTTGGTTGATCCAGGTCCAGATTCATGACATTTCGCCATTTAAACCTAAGTATTGTTATTGTTGTATATATTGCGGATCCTAATTTGTGTAGTATAAGACAAAGCTGACAGGATCAGTGGTATCTCTATGCCCGTGAATTTAGCTATCAGTGACATGGAAGCGAGAATTCGGTTGTTTTAACTTTATTGTGTTGCTAACAAACTACTCTCAGTTTCCTAAATTTTTCTTTTAATAAAACTAAATAAAATCTATCTATCCTTTTATATTAATGTGAAGTGAAATAGATATATTACTATGGGTATAGTTATATTGAGAATTATTTACTTCCAAGAAGAAAAAGTCTGCGCAGAGAACGGCTGCTGCAAAAATGAAAGTAACCGCAAAAAAGATTTATTCTTCGTAAAACGAAGAAGTGTCTTGAATTTATTTAAAATAATTCTTAAAATACAAAATATCTCGTTAATCTCATAAATATAATTGTTGTAGCATATCCAGCTTCATATTTTTTATTTTTTTTCGCAATGAAGTCGCATGCAATTTTGCACACGTTTTATTGTGCAAAAGCCGCAAATCATCAATATTTGTCTTTTATTTTTGTTGTGATGATTACGTCCAAAAAATGCCGGTGATTAATTTCAAAAAGAACGATATTTTTATAATTCCACGAAATCATAACGAGAAATGGGTGAAAAAGCAACTAAAATTAAAATTGCTCTCAGCTACGCTTGTAAACATGCTTGTAGCACACCGACTTGTAGACGAACATACTAAGTATGAATTTGTCAATATTTTTGTTTACATATACACCAATATGGATTACGCATGCCTACCCAGTAGAGGCTGTGCTAAATTGGTGATGGTTAACTCATAATCATATAATTTTGTTCAAAAAATAATAAGATATTGTTCATAATTTTAAAATTCTTAATTTATTTTTCAAAATCTATGTCATCCCCCTTGGCCTCTCTACACTTGTGCCTACGTTTGTTGCAATCCTCGAAACAGCTGTTAAAGGCAAGTCAATTTCCGTAATAACATTGAACGTAATTTAAGTTTAATGTCTTCAATTGACTCAAAATCTTTTCCCCGGAGCAGTCATTTGAGTTCGCTGCATCGTCAAAAGTCACACGGCGTACACGACATCTAGATAATCGAAGAAAACTTTTACCACGATATTCAGCCAATTGATCCTCTATTTCCTGGTCGTAAGCATAGATCCAAGACTCATCGCCAGCAATAATATGTTTCATAACATCCTGGTAGTCGAAAAACATTGTTTTACAAACGTTAACGCGACCCTGTTTTTCGTAATATTTAAGTGATTTGGCACTTATCGTGCTTTGACTTTTCTTAGGGGAAAATGGTCTTTCAAAATGGTTTCCACTGCTCCATTACGATATTCCTACGATCCCAGTGAGATCTCGTAACTGTTAATCGTTGCTTCTCAAATACCAATTCTTTTATTTTATTGACGTGTTGGTCATCAGCTAATGCTAATTTACATCCTGGACGTGATTCGTCGTCAACGAGTTCTCGACCATCTTTTAATATTTTATAACAATACCAATTTGATTTGAAAAAATTTGATTCCGCACACAAAATTTATTAGAACATGATTAGATTTCACGCATCCGAAAGGTCTCCGATTGCACGTTATGTACTTCAGAAAGACAAGCGTATACCAAAAGCTAATGATTATTTTGATGTGACATATGGCATAGATGTGACTGACTGTCATACCAATCAAAAAGAAAAATTTGTGAATAGGTTTTCGCATGAATTTTATACTCAAAAGTCTTACTATTACAAAAAGTTTCAAAACCTAATGCTTTCCCTGCTGGGTACAACATAATAGCGACAAAGCACTTGTAAAGTGATCTGTCGCTTGAAACGTCATACTAAGGTGACAGCTAACAGCTAACAGCTACCAGCCAGTGGCATAAGTTACTATACGACGCGACTGTGGTTAGCACTTGGCGCGTAGGATTTTTGAAATTCTTGACTGTTCAGGAAATATGGTAATTCGGCGTCGTTGAAGGTGACTCACGGCAACGCAGCGGAATCTTAATGAGTAATGCCTAGAGTATTAAGTGCGCTACGCAAAAAATTTGCTGAAACAATAATAGAGAGTGCAAATTGACTACAAGTATAGCTAACAACAATAACAAAACAAGTAAGAGCAACATTGAAGCTTTGTTTCATGACTCAAACCTGCTAAGAGCGGGTTTTTCAGACGACTGCGTTAGAAGTGTATTTGAGTGTATAGTATATTTGAGGTTTGAGAGTGGTTGCTTGTGAGCTCTGCTGAGCGTAAATATTTTTTTTTTTTTTTTAGAGCGTAGGTTTTGTTTATCAATAGTGAATTTGCGGTTTTGCTGCCCATATATAAAGAGTGGTCGCGCTGGTTTAGCAATCATTCAAGTATTATACCATAAACAATAAGCCAACTAGTTTAAGTCTCGATTTCAATTTCATTGTGTGAGTATTATTTTTAAACCAACTAATTTGCTCAGCTTCTTCATACGCTCATTCGCGTTTCATTTAAGTTAGCCTACACTAACCTAAAACTAAACTAAAACTAACCAAAAACTTACCTAAAACTAATTGAGTTTTCCAAAATCTTTTCTTATCGTTTTATGCACACACACATACACACATTGCAAATGAAATTTCAACTATAATTTCAACTTTAATCCCACATTTTGGCACATCAACCGTTTTCTTGAATCCGCATTGTCACCACCACCTATCAACGCGCTGAACACTCGCCGCTTTTCCACCCGCACCACACGCTCATATGGCATACAATACTCTTGACTGCACTGCGCATTCAACACCGATCCCCAGCCACTAGCGCAACTCATACAAGACACAATGTTGCCAATAACAAATGAGAACAATGCCGCCAACTTAAATGCTGCATTTGTTACAGACAATAGTCTTGAAGCGGCAGCTGGCAAAGGAAGCGCTGAACAGAGTTCGGAAGAAGAAATCGCCGAGGTAGTTGAAATAGACGGAAATATCGAAGCGGAAACCAATAAGTCTGTTAACAACAGCGAGATAAAAGCCGGCATGGAAAACCTCGAAAATACTACAATTGCTGTGGAGGAGCTAACAACAACAACGACAACAGCAGCAACACCAACGACACAGGATGCTGTTGAGGACGAAGCGCTTACAATTGAAAATAATGAGGAAACGGCAGCGAATAACAGCCCAAATGAGTCATCAAATACTGATGATGATGCCACAGCGGCAGAAGCAGCAGCAACTGAAGCCGTAGTCGTATCAGCCGATGATGATGCAACTAACGTTGAAGAGGACACCGCCGCCAACGAGTCAACCACTGAGACTGCGGATGATTTGCGTGCTGAATTGGATGAGGAAAATATTAACGAAACAGCTAGTGGTAAAACAGCCGGAATCGATGAAGTAACTGAGCTGACGAAATCTGCTGATGATTCGGCTGAGTGGTTGGGTGAAGATGCGGCTGTGGCTGCGCCGTCTGACGCCGGCATTGATGAAGTTGACAACGAACCAAATGAGAAACGTTACGCAAATTACGCAAACAACAAGAATCGTGAAGATCTCTCATCATCCGATGACGAAGCGGAGGGCGACGAAGTGGAGATGAATCCCGGTTTCGACTCGGAGTGGGGTGACTTGAAGGCAGATCTGGCGCGCGCATCCAGTGAACAAAATGATTTGAGCAACGACATTGATGCCTACGATGCGGTGCCGGTGGATTTGTCCAATGACATTGCCGTCAATGATATAGCAGCGCAGAATCCCGATTTGGCCGTAAATCCCGATGCTGAAGTATTCGATGTGAATGCTTTGAAGAATCCCGGCGCCGTGCCGATGTTTGAAAAACTGACCATTTCGGAGCCGGCCAGCCCTGCCAAATAGGTAGTTTGCGCCCTTGGGTCGCAGCCTAAATTAGTGTTATGCATATCTAGTGCCAAGCTTTCAGCAGTACATTTAAATTGGCTGTTGCGAAAATTTGCGAGATTTTTAGTTTAAGTTTAAAGCTTTAGCAAACTATTTACGAATTTTGTATAAGACTTCCCGCTGTTAGGACGCCGCAATGCACTCGTGCGCCGTGTGGTTCACCGCAGCGCTCGGTTAATATGAGTCATGCTCCAAGATTTCTAAGCAGATCTAAATATATTGTATTTTATTGGTATCTAATTAAGTAAAAATGTGCATTGGTGCAGTCAAAGCTTTATGAGAGTATATGTAAGCATTATTTAGTATTCCGCGTAATTATTTGTATGAATTCTGATGAAATCTGTATTTACAAGTCTTGCAAAATGCCTTAATATAATACTCATCACCTGTTGCATATTCTATATATTTTATAACAGTTACTTATATACATCACAGCGCATTTAAAATAATTGTTTACACTTGTTTCAACTAAAAAGACTAAAAGAAAGCTTCATACACATTGTGTTTTTAGATTTTACACTTATTTATATATACATACATATACATAAATATATATAAAATATAATAAATTAAGATAAGAAACGAAATATATCTGTGGATAAGCAGCTTTATATTTTCTAAGAAATAAAAAAAAAATATGCTGGTTCAGAACATTTACGCTCGGAAAACTACTTGAGATGAATACCCTTCTAGATCGGTTACATTCAAAAACGCTTCTTCCACTGAAGTCAAGATCAAGATAATTATGTCTAATAATTTAGATTCTAACGGGCATGAGGAAAACGTCTTAAGGGATTAAACCTCGGAAATGTCGAAAACCACATAATTAAATATAATAAATCAATAACTAATCGGGCATTTCCGCTTTTAATGAACAAAGACCAAACTTTATCAGTTCCTCATCATTCCCGTCCAGCTATATGGTGCAGAGGCATGGACGATGACAACTTCTGATGAGACGGCGTTACAAAGTTTCGAGAGAAAGATTTTTCGGAAGATTTATGGTCATTTGCGCTTTGACAACTGGTCGATGGAATGACGAACTGTACGAGATATAAAGCGACACTGACATAGCTTAGCGTATCAAGAGGCATCGGCCGTGACGGCTAGGTGATGTTATGCGGATTGATGAACACGCTCTAGAGGTATTCGGCACAGTATCTACCGGTGGAAGCAGAAGAAGAGAAAGGACTCCACTCCTTTGGATCAGATGGAGAACGACCTGGTTGCACTTGGTCTTTTGAATTGGCGGCAATCGGCTATAACCTCATAAGCCAGTAAAGAAGAAGAGTGGTTCTTGGTCGACATTGGTTGGTATTTTAAAAATCTGTAAACCCTACAAATACCAATTTAATATATACATAAGTATTCTACCAAGTAGAGAGAAAATTTAATAAAATGTAACGCTGAAAAAGTTCACGGTTTTGGACACTTACGAATCGCTTGATTTTCATTAATTGAACTCAATTAGCAAATGATTGCAAATTGTTTATTGACTCACCTATTATTAATTAATTCTAGAAGTTGGTTAAATTGATATTTCATAGACCCTGTTATCGCGATACCTATAATAGATAATACTTTCATGTAAAAGGCTAATTGACTTAATTAAGCGGCTATCTGAAATACTTCAAAAACTACTAACAAAAACCAAACTCTATAAGTCACTCATAATTCCCGTCCTCCTATATGGTGCAGAGGCTTGGACGATGACAACAACAGATGAGTCGGCGTTGCGAGTTTTCGAGAGAAAAGTTCTGCGAAAGATTTATGGTCCTTTGCGCGTTGACCACGGCAAACACCGCATTCGATGGAACGATGAGCTGTACGAGATATACGACGACATTGACATAGTTCAGCGAATTAAAAGACAGCGGCTACGCTGGCTAGGTCATGTTGTCCGAATGGACAAAAACACTCCAGCTCTGAAAGTATTCGACGCAGTACCCGCCGGGGGAAGCAGAGGAAGAGGAAGACCTCCACTCCGTTGGAAGGACCAAGTGGAGAAGGACCTGGCTACGCTTGGAATATCCAATTGGCGCCACGTAACGAAAAGAAGAAACGACTGGCGCGCTGTTGTTAACTCGGCTACAATCGCGTAAGCGGTGTCTACGCCAATTAAGAAGAAGAAGATATGAAATACTTACTGTTCAAAATGCTATATGATTGCCTTCTCGAATATCCAAAGTTCTTCTGTAAGTGTCATTTTTTTGTTCATTGTTCTTAATTTCTTTGTCAATAAAAGATGCATACATCGGGAAATTAAAGTAAAAATATTTTTCTTAATAGCCTTTTTTGATAGATCACGCGTTAGTCGTGTCAAGCTTTCATGCTAGTTTTGTTCAGTATTGTTTGGCATTTCTTCATGGAAGGACTTACGCCTGAACAACGTTTACAAATGGTTCAAGTTTATTACGAAAATCCACGTTCTGTGTATGTAGTGAAGACTTTTCTTAGGGGCAAATGGTCTTTCAAAATGGTTTTCACTGATCCATTACGATATTCCTACGATCCCAGTGAGATCTCGAACTATTAATTATTGATTCTCAAATACAGTTGAGGTTGATGGACATCCTGAACGTGATTCGGCGTCAACGCGTTCTCGAATATTTTTGAATATTCTATAACAATACCAAAAACACTTCCTAGAAGAAGATTATATTTCACGCATCCAAAAGAAAATATAGCAGTCATAGTTGATAGTGTATACGAAGACAGTGGACGACTTTTACGTCGAGATCTTAAACTTGTGCAAGAACTAAAGCCGCTCGAACTTTCCAAGCGACACCTCTACGTTCTATGAGCTCTTGAAAAGTTCCAAGAAGATCCGACGTGTTCGTACTGAATTTTGTTCAGCGCTGAGACCCATCTCTGGCTCAATGGGCATGTAAACAATCAAGATTGACGTATTTGGGATGAAGAGCAACCTCAAGAACAAATCTTAGATTCAAGATCTGTCATCTCATTTAGAAAAAACTTAACACACATAAACACATAAAACCGTGTTTTGTGGGACGGTGGAATCACCTGTCCATATTTCTTCAAAATTGGTGGAAACGTAATCGTTATTGTCGACCATTACAGCTCCAGGATAACTGACTATTCGATAACTAAAATTAAAGGATTTATTGAGGGAACATTTTGGTGAGCAGATAATTTCAAGTTTTGGGCCGTTCGATTGGTCACTAAAATCTTGTGATATCACGCAGTTAGACGATTTCCTGTGGGGATATGCAAAAACCCTAAAGTCTTCAATTCAGATCTTGGAGTAAATTCGCTATCTACCAGCCGAAATGCTCGAACGAGTCATCAAGAGTTTGAGTCAACGGATTAACCATCTGAGACGTAACCATTGCAAAGTTTCGGTGTTTTATTTTATGTAGGAAGCCTCGAAATGGGTCACCTGTTATATGGGACGCTAAAGTATTAACATTGAGGTGAAAGTCTGAGACTAAACTTGTTGGAAACTCCAAGTTTTGAATATATCTTATATACTGGTTTCATCCTATTTTGAAACAGAATTAAGAGGCATTTACTACGCAGAAAGTAAACTGTGAAATATGACCTTAGTAGACTAATTTTTTAAATTCTTCATAATCATAATTTTAATTAGTTAGAAGAAGCGTTGTCATGTTAGAAAAGTGCGCGGGTTTAAATCTAATGTAAACTACGATTACAATGTTCTCAAGCTATTCGCATCCAAGAAACCCGAATGATTCAGGAATTGTATCATACTAGTACTGTTCGCTCTGCACACTGAGAACTATTAGCTATAACAATAGATGTCATACAAATTTACTCTGAGAGTTGATGTAAAAATATGCTCATAAATCAATGCAAGTCGGCATGCAAGGTGCCGAATTTTTTCCACTAATCATTACCAATCGATGTTCGGTTAAAAATCTTACCAGATCAAATCAATAATTCCTTGTTAAGAGTCCCGTCTTTGTCAGATAAGAACTAAGATATACCTCCAGTTATTACAAAATTCCAAAGTAGAGACGAGTTGTTTTGGCCGATACCTGATGTTTAAGTTTGGGAGCGTTTGAGGCTACAAAAGGGAGTATCTCTGGCAGTCTTAGTGCTTTATCTACTTCAATTGTTCCAAAGATGCGAAAATTTCCCTTCAAAATCTTCATCTCTTCATAATGCAGAGTTTGAACTTTATTTCACAACTGTTAACCAAATACTTGGCATTATTAGCACCACTAACGCATCCACGATTTACATATACATATGCACTTAGCGCATTAACTCTGTTTAACTATCTGCACTCTAGTTTTGGCGTAGATTTCCATTTCTCTCAGCATTGTCGCATTTCGGCCAGCCACTTCCGCGTGAGCCAAGCATAATAACGTCATTGTTGCGCCAAACAACGAAAAGTGTCAAATGCAAAGACATTGTAACACTTAATCCGGGTAAGAAATTTAATGCATAAGGCTCCAATTAAATCATTTGCATGTTAAGTAGTTTTGTAATCTCAGCAAACGCCCGGAAAAATGAAATACGCCAGCACGGGGAAAGGCCAAGCGACCGTTGTGATGATTCAGCACAAAAACCTCTCAACTTAAATATGAAGTCAACTGAGTATAAACAGTTCGGCCGAACCGACGAATTTCAATGCAGTTAAGTACGGAGCTGCGCACCAATGCGGCGAGCGTGTTCTTAACAACGACGACGTCAACGAGAAAAACATGAACTCATCAAAAGTGCAAAAGTAACTTAACAATGGCAATCTGACTAAAAACGGGTGACAAGAGAGGATGCGTCGGCCTGTTATCCTTTATCTAAGTATCTATGCCACACTCATCCGGAAAGTTTGGGGGAGACAAGAAGCGTTGCTAAGCAGAAAAACAATGCAAATTTCGTCCGCGTACGGGGGTAGTTAAGGCTTGAGCAGGAGGTTTCTCGGTCTCTACGTATTTGGCAATGTTTTTCTTTGATAAAGTTTGTGGCACTATCACCACTATTACGACCAGTACGAAAGTGCATTTGTGTCTGTTTGTGTATAATGTAAATACAATCTTGTGGAGAGATTGTTAGCAGTAGACACACACACATACACATAGACACACAGCCATACTGTCCATACTGAATTATTCAATCTCTTGCTTATCGTCAAGAACATTGGTGTGGCGCTTGATTCCAGCAGGCTTTCCTTACGCCTGCGCTGTGAGGAGTAGAAAGAGGGTGGGTGGGTGAAGGAATTAATTTCGTCTAGCGCATATTTTACTGTAGGTGTTGCTGTTGTGTAATCAAAATTTTAAGCTTTGTTCTTTAATCCGCTTTTAATGTCGGAGATACAATTTTGTCACAAGAGTTGAGTTCAACGAGTTACACCGAAAAGTTTGCCAAACGCTGCTAAAAATATATGTGATTTCGTGCTTAATTAGGCGCGTTTGTAAATGTGGATTAAAATATATGTATATAGTTTATAAGCTGTCTGATTTTACTTTTAATCTCTTTTTGGAGTTATAGCTTCAGCTTGCGTAGCACA